CGCCCTCATCGCTGCCGTACCCGCCGGCCAACGACCCGACCTTATAGTGATTGCGGATCATATGTTTGCGCAAATAGTAGCCGACGGCGAAACTCTTGCCGCACTTCTGGCACTTGAATGGCTTCTCGACGATATGCTGAGCGTCGATATGTGTCCTTAGCTCTGATGGCGTGTCGCACGCGTGGCCGCAGTCGGGGTATTGGCAATAGAGGACCTGTTCATTAGCGCTGGCCGTTTGTGGTCTACATTTTACTTTTGATGGCGACAACTGGTGGTCATCCGTGTCCTCAGTCGGCGTCGCTTTACGTTTCCTATTTCTCGTTATCACCGCAAAGCAACTGTCCCTCTGGTGTTGCTTTAGGTACTTCTCGATCGGGAAAGGAGTGCCGCAATCGGGACACACGTATGCCTTATTCTTCGTGTGCTCTTTGAAGCGATGCATTTCCAGGTCTCGATATAGTGTGAACGTGTGGTCACAGTCGGACCAATTACAACGGAACCCCTTCTTAATGTCCTCGCGGGTCACTGTAATGGACAATAAGACATAAAACATTGCTTAAGGTTAAGTCCAAAATGGCGGACAAACATACCGGGTCTGTATTTGTGGTCATCGCGCATATGTCTGTCCAGCGATTCCTTGTCGTCGAAGACCCGCTCGCAATCGTTTATACAACATTCGTGGCTCTGTTTCGTTGTATCGCCGGCCGATTGGTCGTCAACGGTGTGGCCTTCGGGTGCGCCGATCCTCAGGCAAACGGGTTCGTGAATTGTCAGGTCTTTGAGAAAGGCGTACGCCTTCGGACACTGCGGACACTTGTATGGCCTGATAGTGGTGTGTTTGATCCGGTAGTGTCGCCACATTTCGCTTGGTTTGCGGAAAGTCATACCGCACTCATCCCATTGACACAGTATTCGGCCGATCACTCGGATGTAGTCAAAGAGCCCATCGTTTTGTTGTTGTTGTCGTTGAGAGCGCTCATCGACGCTCCGACTGGTGTCGCCACTGTCGCCGAATCGGTTCCCAAGTGTGGTCTCCGTCTCCTCGTTCATGGCATGAATGGCCAGATGTTCGCGGAAGTACTCTCTGTCGGAGTACTTTCGGTGACATTTGTCGCACTCAAACGGCCGCTCATTTGTGTGCTCTTTGCGCTTATGAGAGACGAGACGATATGCTTTGGCGGTTCGGTATTGACAGCCCTTCCAATCGCAGGCGTGGATCTTCTTCTTGTCTTTCGGATCGACGAACGGATCGAAGTTATAATCACTTCCGCTGTCGATGTTGTCGTCGGCACCGAAATCATCGCCAACCGACTGCTGGTCGTCATCGGTGGCCACCTTCTGGCTGTCGTCCAAATCAACGCTCGGATTAAATGTATTGATAAATGCAATGAGTGGTCTGTTTTTCTTGCGTTCGGTCACCTCTTCCTCCACATCAGCGCTCTTAGCCCCCGCATTACGGCTTCGAGATATTTGTGTCTTAATGTCTTCATAACTGGTCTCCAATCGCTGGACAATCGGCTTATGATCGATGGTTTGAATGCAAACACACTTTCGCTTATAAACTAAAACACATTTTCTATAGTTTTGCATAAATTCAATGTATTTTTGAGCGAATTTTAATTCGTCTAAAAGTCTCTTATTCTCATCACTCAACTCATCCAAGAGGTCGTGAATATCAACTGATTTACAAACCCGTGACCTGTATTGTCGAACTATAGGTTCAATTGGTTGATCGGCACCGCTATCACTATCACCACCAAAATCAGGACCACCGCCACAACTATCCAAATCATTATCACTGTTATCCATATTCTTAGGATTTTTGGGACATTTCATGAGATGTCGGCGACACTTTGGCGCGTGTTTCTGCTGTTTGTTCCCGCAGTACATACACTGCATTACCGCTGTGGCTCCGCTTCCCGACACGTGCTTCCAATGGCGCCAAATATCGACTGGTGTGAAGACACGCGGTCTGTATTGTCGAACTATTGGTTCAATTGGTTGATCGGCACCGCTATCACTATCACCACCAAAAGCAGAACTACCGCCACAACTATCAGTATCACTGTTATCCATATTCTTAACATTTTTGGGACATTTCATGAGATGTCGGCGACATTTTGGCGCGTGTTTCTGCAGTTTGTGCCCGCAATACATACACTCGACTATCGATTTGGCTCCGCTTCCCGACACGTGCTTCCAATGGCGCCAAATATCAACTGTTTCGTAGACCTGTGGTCTGTATTTCGGAACTATTGGTTCAATTGGTTGATTGGTACCGCTCTCACTATCACCACCCAAATCAGGACCACCGCCACAACTATCCGAACCATCATCACTGCTCTCCATATCGCTCCCCATAACATTTGTGGGACATTTGGGACATTTCCATAGATGTTGGCGACACTTTGGCGCGTGTTTCTGCTGTTTGTGCCCGCAGTACATACACTGCACTATCGATTTGGATCCGCTTCCCGACACATGTTTCCAATGGCGCCAAACATCCATTGTTTTGCGAGCCGTGGGTTTGGTTCCCTCGTAGTAAAGCGTTTGTTTGATCTCTTCGGGACATTCACCACAAATATATGTGTGTCGCCGACACTTAGCGCTATTCCTCAGCTGTCGGTTCCCGCAGAACCGGCACTCGACCCCCGAATTCTTGCTACAACCGGCCGTCACTGGCTTCCNGCAGACAATGTATCGGCGATTGGATTGCCAGCGATCGACACCACTGTCCGGAGTGTCGCCGACCGCTGGCCACTGCGGTCGACACGGTCTACAACTTTACGATCAATTCAATGGTCGGCGAAATGCACGTCAAGTGTCGCTACGAGTCCGAGGGTTGTCTCGAAGCGCTAGAGTTGGCTCTAATGACCGCTCACGAGGCCGTCTGCGCGTATCGATTGTGTCCGACGTGTGGACTCAGCATCGGATCAGCCAATGGCGGTCACGTCTGTCCGCCGCCACTGATGGGCGATACAGCGCCTGAAGATACCAATCTTCTGGACATCGATCCGTCACTAATCCAAATGATTGAGAACGAAATCATTACCGAATTAGAGCCCATGGACTGGTCGGACGTCGCGGGCCTCGAGTTCGAGAAGAATAAGATCAAAGAGATCACAGTTTTGCCACTCCTTCGACCGGATCTGTTCCAAGGCCTTCGAAAGCCGCCGAAAGGTTAGTGTATTGTTTGGCCACAAATTTAGTACACATTTTAATCGCACGTCTATTGACAGGTATTCTGCTATTCGGACCGCCGGGCACTGGGAAGACATTTCTGGGCCGTTGTATCGCATCGCAGACCAAATCGACGCTCTTCTCGATAAGAGTGTCGGCGCTGAACAGCGAATGGATGGGTGAGTCAGCGGTGACTCTTCGGGCCATATTTGCCGTCGCGCGCGCCCGACAGCCGTCAGTGGTCTTCATCGATGAAATCGATTTACTGTCGGACAGCGAACAGTCGTTCCTTCAAATGAAGGCAGTATTTATGGCCCAATTTGAAGGCATAAGGACTCAATCGGACGACAAGTTGTTGATAATCGGCGCCACTAATCGACCGCAAGTGTTGGACGGCGCGATCCGACGCCGTCTGTCTACCAGACTCTACATACGACTGCCCGAAGCGAGCGCTCGCAAACAGATTATCGAGAAGTGCTTGAATGGTGTGAATCACTCGTTGAACGATTCGCAGATGCAAGCGTTGGCCGACCGAACCGATGGCTACTCGTGCGCTGATATGAAAGACTTGTGCCACAAGTCGGCACTGGAACCGATGCGCGACTCAATCATTATGACTAACACTAATAGTCGCCAAAACTGATTCATTGTGTTTTAAATAATTCAATTCACTTTTAGTTTTTCACATATTTTTGTTGTAATTTTTTTGTATTACTACTAATTACTACTGTATTACCCGTTCATGAGGTCCGCCACATATTTTTCTCGTATTTTTTGTTGTTTTTTCCAATAATTGTATCGAAAGTTAAATTCATTTTCAAGTATTTATTTCTGTTTAGACTTATTTCTCATTCATTTTGATTTAAATGATAAAAATTTTAATATTACGTTAATTGAAAATAAAATTTATTGCAAATAAAGTTAACAGTAAAACATTAAAAAGTTGACTGTAGGATATGTTGCACATGAAAGTGACAATGGATGGCAATTATGGTGATTCTCGGCGATCTGGTCTCAAGACATCAATCGATAATCTATTGTTTTGTAAATACAAAAGTCATTTACTGTAACATTTAATTGTAAATAATTTTACATTTGTTTTAAAGTGTATTAAATTACGGCAATTTGTGGCCACCGGTCACTTCAGACGCATAACACTATTTGTTATATCGTTTAATGCAAATTATCATTCTTCGTGAGTCCCGTTTAAAAATTAGTTACACAATAAATATGTTGTAATAAAACGGGTTTTAATTAAATTAAATAATTGGTAAAAAAATTACAAGTTAAATTAAATGGTATATTATCGTAAAATACAATTTATATTATAAATTAAACTGATTAAATATAAGTAATTACAATTATATATTAATTACAGTTAATAATAATTACAATTAGTGATCATTTAATCATTTTATTGATTGTGACGAACTGTTTGGCGGCTTCGGTTGTCACGGTTTTGATCTTATAATCAGTGATACAATGTTTAACCCTTAAGTGTTTACGCAAATAATTAGAACTCGCGTATTGAGAGTCACAACCGTCCAAATGGCACCGATAGGGCCGTAGGCCGAGGTGTTGGCACACGTGAACGTCTATCTGAAACGACTGCGAGAATGTCTGGTCACAGGCGGGCCAACAGCACGAGAAGCGCTTCACCATCTGATGCATCTGTTTATGCTTATCGAGCGAACCCTTTTGGCGGAACGCTTTCCCGCAGTCCGGGTATTCGCACCGGAAGTCACGGACGTCAGTGTGGATCAGCCGATGATAGGTCAGGGATGAGCTCGTAATGAACGCCCGGTCACAGCCCGGCCACTCACACAAGTGCGTCCGTCGCTCGGCTTCGGGCGCGTGAGTGAGCGCGTGCTGTCGCAGTCTCTCCGCTGTGATGAACTGCGCGTCACAGCCCAACTCAGGGCACTTGTGCTCGCGCTCCTGAAGGTGGTGCTGCCGGATGTGCCTCAATAGACCGTTACGTGTGGCGCACCTCTTGTCGCACTGTTCGCACGGGTGCTGCAAATGGTCGGCGTTATCGGTGTAGTGGACATTGAGCTCCGGTCGTGAGTCAAACTCTTGGCCGCACGACTCGCACGGGTACTTCCGGTAGTGAATGCGCGACATGTGTCGGCTCAGGTAGCTCTGCATTGAGAATCGGCGCGAGCACTGGTCGCACGCGAACGGCAGTTCCAGAGTGTGTTCTCTGTTAGTGTGCGCCACCAGTTTGAAGCGCTGGTCAAACACCTGACCGCAGTCCTCGTACGCGCACTGGTAGGGCATCTTCGGCGCACCGGTGCCCGAGTGGTAGATAGACTTGTGTTTTGACAGATAGTTCCGCTTTTGGAACCGTTTGTCGCATTTGTGGCATTTGAACGGCTTTTTGCAATTATGAACAGTCAGGTAATGGCGTTGGAGTTCGTATATGCGTTTGAACCGTCGGCCACAGTCGGCCCAATCGCACGCATACTTATAGATGTAGTCTCCATCGGCGCCCTCATCGCTGCCGTACCCGCCGGCCAACGACCCGACCTTATAGTGATTGCGGATCATATGTTTGCGCAAATAGTAGCCGACGGCGAAACTCTTGCCGCACTTCTGGCACTTGAATGGCTTCTC